GGGAGGTTTGGGGGGGGGGGGGCTAGCGTATTCCGTCTTGTTGTGTTTGGCTTTGCAGATCCGCCCCAGCCTACGGCCCCACGGCATCACGGCCCTTCCCTTGTGGGCCAGGACCCGCGCCCCTCCGGCCTGCTCGCCCCTTTTCTCTCTTTCTGGCCGCCTTGCTGCTTGACCCGGCGTGACCGCAGGCGGCCAGCGCTCCCTCCCGGTCCCCGTGCGTGGCGTCCAGGACGTCCACCCCGCCGCTCCCCGGCGGCTGCGCCAGCGTCCGATAGTCTGCGACGCCGCCGAGGCGACCGGAGGCGACGCCCCCGGGAGGGTGTGCCCTCCGGTGCCCTCCGGCGGCGCCCTCCGGGACGGTAACGCGCTGTGACAGGCGGGGCCCACCACCCCGTATGGAAATGTGGCCCGCAGCGCAGCGGCGTAGCGGAGGTTAGAGAGGGAGATCGTACGCAAAGTAACACTGTCAAAACAAGGGGTCGTCCAGAAAAGTACGTGTTTCTCATCTTCCATTGGCAAATTTAGGGAGCTCGCCGCCTGCGAGACTTGGAGTAGGCCACCCCGCAGTACAGGCGTGCACTATGGGCAAGTTGTTGCCTACCTACCAGGCGCTTGATGAGGTCGCATAGGCTCAATTTGGCAGGTTCACAACGGCGGTCTCCTTTCTAGTTGGATGATGCCCAAGTGCACAACACTACTAACAGTAGCACAGTTCGCGAACTCAAGAACACCCCTTTCCGCTCCAGACGATCTCGTGTGATTTACCTAACGTCTCACGGAATCGCGACAGAAAGAGAAATCCCCACGTTTTAGACTTTCACGCCGCGCTACTGTGTCTCGGTGGCGTGATCGTGACGTAAATGAGAGACTGGTGATGAGTACCAAGTGTTGTGGTGCTATGTGGTGTCGCGGGAGAGGGGAGTGGAGGGGAGAAGGGAGGGAAACTGTCACTGAATGATTAATCACGATCAGAGGGAGGGCGTGATCGGGATGGCGAGCCACGCTCAGTCTCACTCTTTTTTATTGTTTTTTATTTTCACCACCCCCTCCTCCACGTCCCCCTCCCACCCCCCGTTCCCTGGTCTGGTACCACGAGCTACTCGTGTTCGCCTCAATGGCGGGGAAGCGTTGTGGGTGGTATCGTAACAAAGGGCTCATCGTATTTCACAGCGTGCTTTTTTGTCATTGTCTAAAATACTATCTCGTATATCGTACTGCCGTGTGTGTGTGTGTGGGGAGGGGGGTCATTTGCGATAAATAGCAGCCGTTAAAACTTTGATTAACTATGTCTGCGGAGGCCGCGTAAACTTTATCATGATAAACTTTACACTCATCAATTTATTTTGTTGTTTTCATTAATGAATAATTGTTGATGTTTAAGAAAAAAGTAATTTTCCCTGCTGTCCCCTAGCTCCGGTTTAATTTGTGCGCGCTGCGGCTGGCGTCTCCCCGCGCCACGGCCGCTGTCACGTCACGAGAGAACGACCTCATTGCAGCCAATTGGCTCTCTCCCTGCGTAGTTTGCAGTGTCAACGAACTATGGCGGGGGTGGGCGGGCTCGCCGCACCCCGCCACGCCACGCCACACCAACGCTGCCGCGCCTCCACCGGAGCCGGAGCCCATGTCTGTCAGTCCGAACCGCACGGAACATGCCCATACACCCTTATCAATGAATGTTTTTCAAGGCCCCTGGGGGGGACCGCGGGGACCGGGGAGGCCGGGCGCGAGGGGATGGCACGGAGCGGTCGACGAAAATAAAAAGGGAAACAATTGGCGATCACAGGCGACGTCGCGCTGTAATCTGTCATTGCCGTCGGAAAGCTTCTCAGACTAGTGTTTCGCACGCCCAACCATTCACCAACCAAATAACCCCTCCTCCCCATCCCTCGCCACCCCTTTCTCTCCCTCCCTCCACCCTCCCCGCGCTTCGCTCCGCCGCACAGCCTCGTCCCGTTCCGCCCCCCCCCCTCTCTCTCCCTCTCTGCTGGTGGCGCGGCAGGGCTCTCCTAAGGGCTGAAGGTCCGCGCTGTGCTGTGGGGTGCCGGCGGTCGCGACCAGAATAATGACATTGGGTATATAAAAAAAGAAAACAACGCGGTATGGCAGAGGCAGCTGCTGCTGTTTAGAAACTCGCTATTTATTAATGCTCTTTCATTTTCCCTTTGCTTGCTGTGCTCTTGATTCTTTCCAGAACTGCGCGGACGCCCGCATGTCGGACAAGCGCGTGTACCACACGTTCGCGCGCACGCTCCCGCCCGCCTCCAAGGTGTCCAAGTCGGTGGTGGCGCTGCTGCGGGCCTTCGGCTGGGGCACCTTCGTCGTGGTGGCCGGCAAGCAGCCCGCCTGGAGCACCGGGGTGAAGGACGCCATCGAGGTAAATATACGAGTCAGTCGGGCCCCTCCCTCCCTCCCTCCCTTGCGTTGCTGCCCTTCCCTCTGCTTTTACAAGAAGCGCGCGCCCCGGCTAGGCTGCTGCCCGGCAACTGAGATTAAATACACATTTGGCAAATGAAGGAGCGAAGGGCGGCGTGACACTGGGCCACTGGGGCCGGCAGGGTGAGGGGAGTGGGGAGGGAGGGCGAGGGGTTTGCGGCCCCCTAAGTGATGCGCGGGGAGGGACGGAATCTCCTCCTGCTGCTGCTCCTGCCTGCGGCCCGCCCCGGCCCGGGCCCGGCGGTGGCGGTCCGGAGGGAAATGGTTGCTTGTTAACTTTTACAGCCTCCGCTCCCTGGAGGGGTAGAGGGGAAGAAGGGCGGGGCGGGGCAAAGTGCGCCCTGCACTACTACAGTTGCGGTGGGGCGCGGACACGACACATGCGGCTTGCTGTTGTTGTTGCAGGAGCTGGCGCGCACGCACGGATTCGCCATCTCCGACATTTGCGAGTTCTCCGACTACATCCCCCGGCACATTGAGGAGATGGAGTCCATCGTGGAGAAGACGTACGAGACGACGAGAGGTGAGAGATAAACCCATGAAGGCCTATTTTTGAAGGAAGGAGATCTGCTCAGTTAAACCGAAGTCATTTTCTGGTCTCAATGCAAATTGCATTGGTACAAATGAAAATTGCATTGGCCTTATACAAATGTTTTTGCGATCGCAACGGCCAAGCACATGCTATTCTGGGTGTAGGGGGGCAGGGCTCGTGAACGGAGGTGGGGGGTGCTCAGACGGCGACCTTCATAAACTCGTCTGTCGCTCGGCAGTGTACGTGTTTGTGGGCGAGCACGTGGCCTTGGTGGACTTCGTGAAGGTGCTGCATCGGCGGGGGCTGCTGGAGAAGGGCGAGTACGTCGTCATCTCCGTGGACGACGAGATCTACGACCCCGCGTCCAAGCACAAAATTCTCCAGCGGGGTGAGTTTTTGGACGAGAGCGCATCGCTTTCGCGAGCGCACTGTCTGCGAGGTCATGAGGGTCATCAGTGTTTCTCTCCTCTCCCCTCTACAGAGTACATAGACCCATTCCTCCGTGACGGGGCCGCGTCCAACGCAGAGGACGCCGAGGGTTTCCGCTCCGTGCTCAAGCTGACCCCGAGTCACCCTCGCAACCCCCAGTTCAAGTAAGACCTCAGGAAGAGTTGGAAGGGGGGGGGGGCGGCTCCCGCTTCGTGCACTTACGCCGTTTTGGCCGCAGACACATCTGCGAGGAGATCAAGAAGTTCTCGACGGGCCCGCCATTCTGCGTCCCCTACCACCGCCGCATCTTTGACAGCATCTCGGTGCCGATCCACGCCGCCCACCTGTACGACGCCATCCTCATCTACGCGCGCGCGCTCACCGAGATCCTGCACCGCGGCGAGGACCCGCGCAACGGCAGCGCCATCCTGCAGCACATCCGGGGCCGCTCTTACGAGTCCGTGCAGGGCTTTGACGTAAATATGTCGTTAACGGCCGCTAGCGGAGTTCTGGGCTGGGCAGTCAGTCCCGGACACACGGATCAAACTCGCATCCCTCTCCTTTTCCGCCAAAGGTCCTGATCGACGACAACGGCGACGCGGAGGGCAACTTTAGCGTGGTGGCCGCCCTCCCGGACGACGAGGTACGCGTCAGCATGCAGCCGGTGGGGTACTTCGTATACAACAGCGCCAACGACACAGCGCTGCCGGTAGGACCCGCACAAATAGTAAATTCTCTCAAATATTGTGCATTGGAGGCAGAGACAACCAGGTCGTGTCACCACAAATCATAACAGTCTGATTTTCGTTGTTTTGTTTTTGCACCGTCTCGCTCCCATAGGAGTTCCGATACTTCGACTCTTCGCGGCAGATCCAGTGGGTGTCGGGCTCGCCGCCCAGGGCCGAGCCGCTGTGCGGCTTTCACGGCGAGCGCTGCACCTACCGCGCCGACTGGAGGCTCAGCCTGCCCGTGGCCGCCGTCGCCGTGCTGCTGGTCGTCGGGGCGGTCTTCGCCCTCAAGTGAGTAGAGCCGACCAGCCACAACCACCGCCGCCGCCCGAGCGACCCGGGATAGGCGAGCCCGGCGGGCACGCGCGCGTCCCGGCTGCCTACCCGCAGGATGCTGGGCGCGCTCCGCTCCGCTGGCGGGGTGTGCGGGGTGCGATGGTGGCGGGGCTCTGACAACTACGCTCGCTGCGCTCTTTTCTCGCCAGGCACTACCGCTACGAGCAGAAGCTGGCGTGTCTGCTGTGGAAGGTGGACAGCCGGGACATCACGCTCATACCGGCTGGCGGGAACGAGGCGCCCGTCAACAAGAGTATGGTGAGCAGCCCGCCTTTCTCTCTCTCTCTCTCTCCAACTCCCTCGCGCTCCTTCCTCTACATTCCCCCCTCTCACTCGCACTCGGTGCCGCAGGTGTGCCGCCGCAGCATCCTGCGCCCCGCCGGCCTGGGCAGCCTGGTGGAGCCCGGGGAGGCGAGCGAGCCGCGGGCGCACACGGTCATCGGCCTGTACAAGGGCAACATCGTGGCCGTCAAGTACGTGCTCAAGCGCTCGCTCGACCTGACGCGCAGCATCCGCAAGGAGCTCAAGCAGATCCGGGAGGTACGCCACGAGAACCTCATCCCCTTCATCGGCGCGTGCGTGGACCAGGGCGCGCTCTGCATCCTGACGGCGTACTGCGCGCGCGGCTCGCTCGAGGACGTGCTCGCCAACGAGGACCTGCACCTCGACAACATGTTCGTGTCCTCGCTCGTGGCCGACATCCTCAAGGTAACTGTGGGCCGTTGACCACGCTGCTGACGGGGGCGTCGGTGGCGGCCGGTGGTGATTGTGACCGATGTATTCCCAACTGAGTACACTGTCCACCGCCCCGGGGGAGAGGGAGGAGAGGGGTGGGGGTGACTACTGCAGCGAGTGTGGATGGAGGGGTGGGTGACCTTGGCTGTTCAGTGCTGGGGTTGGCTCTCTGGGTCACTGTGGTATGGGATTCCTTCCTTGGATTTTCGATCTTATGATCTTACTGAGCACACTCTCCTCTCTTATGAAAATAAAATCTTCCAGGGTATGATCTACCTCCACGATAGCGACATTGTGTCTCACGGGAACTTGCGCTCTTCCAACTGCCTGGTGGACTCCCGGTGGGTGCTTCAGATATCGGACTTCGGACTGCACGAGTTCAAAGGTGGTTGTGTGTTTGTTTATTGGGTTGACATCGAGAGGTCCTTTTCACGTGGTCTGTTGTTCACGCCCTCTTCATGTTGGCACCAGCAGCCGGGCGGGTGGAGCCGGACGCCACGCGACGCGAGCTGCGGCGCTGCCTCTGGCGCGCCCCCGAGCTGCTGCGCGCCGGCGGCTGCCCCGGCCCGCACTGGGGCCACGGCGGCCACCATAGCGGCCACCACGTCGGCCACGGCAGGGGCACCCAGAAGGGCGACGTGTACTCCTTCGGCATCCTCCTGTACGAGATCATCGGGCGAGCGGGGCCGTGGGGCCGCACGACCCTCCCCGACGAGGAGGTGGTGGCGCGCGTGGTGGCCCCGCCGCTGCCGGGGCAGCAACCCTTCCGACCCGATCTGCGCGCGCTGGAGGTCGAGGGCACGGCCGAGTACGTGCTGCGCTGCATGGAGGCCTGCTGGAGCGAGGACCCCGAGCAGCGGCCCGACATCCGCCTGGTGCGCGTCAAGCTCAAGGAGATGCAGGCGGGCCTGTAAGTGCGGAGTGGGGGACACGTAGGACAGTAGTGTCCTGCGGATCAGGGCGCTGGCCTCACACGAGTTACTTGCTGCAGGAAACCCAACATCTTCGACAACATGCTGTCGATCATGGAGAAGTACGCGTACAACCTGGAGGGCCTTGTGCAGGAACGCACGAACCAGCTCTCGGAGGAGAAGAAGAAGACTGAGGCGCTGCTGCACCGCATGCTCCCCAAGTTAGTCAGCTTTTCTCTCCTTTTATATGTTCCGTGTCCCAGACCATGGCGACTAAACCTCGTGCCCCTTTTCCTTCGTGTCCTCACAGAACTGTGACGGAGGCGCTCAAGCGCGGCGACCCCGTCGAAGCGGAGAGCTTCGATTGCGTCACCATCTACTTCAGCGACATCGTGGGCTTCACGGAGCTGTCGGCCGTGAGCACGCCGCTGCAGGTGGTGGACCTGCTCAACGACCTGTACACGTGCTGCGACTCCATCATCTCGCACTACGACGTGTACAAGGTGGAGACGATCGGCGACGCCTACATGGTCGCCAGCGGGCTGCCGGTGCGCAACGGCGACCGGCACGCCGGCGAGATCGCCTCCATGGCGCTGCGCATCCTGTCCAGGATCCGGCGCTTCGAGGTGCGGCACCGGCAGGGCGAGCCGCTGCAGCTCCGCATCGGCATCCACTCGGGCCACTGCGTGGCGGGCGTGGTGGGGCTGGCCATGCCGCGCTACTGCCTGTTCGGCGACACGGTCAACACGGCCTCGCGCATGGAGTCGTCCGGGCTGCCGCACCGCATCCACATCTCCGAGGCGACGCACGCGCTGCTGCAGCGCCTGGGCGGCTACCACTGCGAGGAGCGCGGCGTGATCCCCGTCAAGGGCAAGGGCAACATGCGCACCTGGTGGCTGGTCAGCGAGGACCCCGCCCGCCGCATCGCGCGGCTCGCGGGCGTGGCGGCCGCCCTGCCGCGCCCCGAGTCCCCCGAACGTCAGTGTCCTCCCGCTCCAGCTGCCGCCCCCGCCCCGCCGGGGCCGCGGGACCGCCGTGACCCGCCTCGCTTCTTGCCCGCAGGTCTGAGCGAGACGCCCGACCTGCTGCGGAGGCCGGCCGGCGGGGAGACGCTGTCGTCCGAGGACGTGCGGCCGGACGCCAGCGAGCTGCACCGCAGGGCCTTGGAGGTGAGGCCACGACGTCAACTTGTTCAGAGCAAGGGAGGCGTGCTGTATGGCAGTGTCGACATGAACGCCCTCTTCTCTTACAGGACTGGCTGCGGTACGCGCGGGCCGAGATGTGCGTCGCGTCGGCGCGGAGGTTTACGCACCGGGAGCACCAGTCGGCCCCCGTCGTCACATTTACCGAAACTACGTCATAGATTATACAGTGTGTCTGCACAGCAGGCTTGCCCTCCTTTCTCTTTGGTCTGCAATATTTTGTATGGCTGCTCTGCCGAAATGAAAGCTCAGTTTTATTAATAAAACAGTTGCGTTGTATTTATTTCACGCCCGTACGCCGTACAGGTGTCCGGGTTTCCCACCGGCGCCGCCGAGCCAGTAGGCAACCCGCACACATACACGCCAGCCGCCCCCGAGCGCCCCGAGCGCACGCACCAAGTGTGCGCAAGTGTGCGTATTAAATGCGGCACTGCGCATTAAATGCGTGCAAACGTAAATCACGCGCATTGTCGAATCGACTCTAAAAGAGCGGTTTTGCAGATTTTGACATGAACATGAGACCGGGGGGGGGGGGGGGGGGGGGGGGGGGGGGGGGGGAGGACCCCGCGCGTATCTGTAGTGATGCTGTACCGCATCCCTGGGGCCGTGTAGCTAGGAAGGCAAATACATTTTTCGCAATCTTCAGTCGAATTTGAAACGAAGCAGGGCATCGGATCTCTTTTGGTGCATTTATCCCATTTTTCTGATGTTGGTGAATTGTGAATTTCTCATAGTTCAGACGCGCGCGCATCGACGTGACGACATTTCATAAACAAAACACTGTGCGTTCCAAAAACGTTATCTAAGTTTATACTATTTTTTCTAGAAAAACACTGTACTCCCGTTTTGGGATTTTACAAAGTTGCTTCCTTTGGATATGTTGTCAGTGATAACATTGATTTCATGAGTAGCTAGGACTGGTTACGTGACTTTTGCTTCAACTTAGTCTGCACGCATACTTTTGCAATCATGTCGGACTCCGATTCGATGGATTATCAAAGCGAGGATGGAGAAATCAAGATCCAGAAAAGCCCTCTGGGAAAAGACAAACATAATGATGAACTTCCATTCAGGTATGACCATTGTCTGCTTGTATCTCGTGTTTTGTGAAGTGTAATTAAATTACTTTGATGTACCGAGTATTCTAACCTTAGAAACTTTGGCACTCTTTGTAATTTTTCTGAATATTGTCTGTTGTCTGTCAATGCTCATAATTCAATTCAAATTCAATTCGAAACCTACAATTTAATTTATCTTGTGTTCGTTAAAAGTGCTTTTACTATCTTGCATTTAGTAGGATTTAGTTTGTATGACCCTCAATTTTACAGCTTATCAGACGAGGATGCTGAGGACACCGCTGATTCACTTGATATTAAACCTCCCCAAGCCAATGTTCATCCGCTGAAAGCTCGTAGTCACAGAGAAAAACGAAGTCATAGAGAAAAGGAGCGGCGTGCTTATGTAAGTTTGGTATTTACTTTCTGAGAGCATATAGAACATGTACTTGTCAGTAAGGCCTTGCATGTTTATTGTACGTAAACTATTTTAGGGCCATCAGAGCCACACTCGAACTGAAGAAAGACCTCACAAGAAGGGCCATCACAGAAGTAGAGAAGAACGCCACAGAGAAAGGAGAGAGGAGCGTCACCGTGAACGAGAAAAACGCCACCATAGGTTTATTCAACTCTCTTTGCTTAGTTTTAAGTTGTATTTTTCGGTCTAATATCTAAATGTGTACTTATTCTCTGTTCAGAGACAAGCATGGTGTTGCTATTGAAGCCAAGAGAGAGCGTTTGGAGTATGGAATGGAGGAAATAAGACATCGCGATGACAGTGCCTTCCGCAACCATAGAGAGGTATTAAAAAACAACATCAGTTTCTACTAATTTTAAAAATAATTTTTATATAAATTTCTTATGATCTAGTAATTTTTATTTGTTTCCTGTTTGTTAAAGGAACCAGCTCGTGCTTCATACAGAGATGCTGTGGAGGGACGTAGAGCTGAGCCAAGGGATGTTCACAGTTCCAGAGAACTGCGTGATCCAAGGGAAGCTCGAGATACGCGAGAAATCAGGGAGATCCGTGAAGTAAGAGATTCTAGGGAGTATAGAGAAATCAGGGAAAGAGAAAGAACTGAGAGACGAGAAGATCAAAGCAGAGAAAGAAGTCATAAAGAAAAGGTAGCCTATTTAAAGTTTATTTAGAAACATGAAGCTTCTGCTTTAATATCTTTGTATAGCACCTTCATGTTCTGTGGTAGATGCCTGCTGATCGGAAACCAGAAGATTTGCGAGATAGAATACTGGATCGTAGAAGGGATGGTGATACACATCACCATGACAGAGAGAGGCACAAACGGGAAAGGCGGGAAGCTCAACTTCTTGAACAACAAAGACTAGAACGGCAGCAGCTCACTGTGCAGGAGCAATCTTTACCGCCTCCCATCAGGGAAACACCTCAAGAACGTGCTGAGCGAGAAGAAAGGGAAAGTCGTAGGTTGAAATTACTTGAAGCAGGTGCGACATCATTATGTTTCATTCACCTGTATTTTTTTACTGAAATATTTTGAAACACACTTTATTTTTATAATTCTTAATTTTCTTCTATTCTTCAATCAATCATTTGGTTTTCACCACTGCAGGAATTTATTTCTATTGCTTTACTCCTCTCTTGTATATTTGCAGAGCGGGAAATGGTGCGACAAAAGGAGGTTTATAAAAGGGAGTTAGAGGCTAGGAGGGCCAGAAGACAAGTGGAAGAAGAAAAAGAACGTGCTATGGAAAATATTGTTATGAAACGGGAACGCAGCCGTAGTAGAGAAAGAAGACAATTAATTGATGGTACTTACTGTTGTTGTCAACTTCTTTTTTTTTTTAATATCTCTTTTTTTAAATATCTCATTTTTTAACAATTTTTTTAGATGATGCTGCTGTGGTTCTGTCAGGAGCATCTGAAGATGAATTACAAGATGATGGAGACGATGATATGAATTTAAGTCAGTTGAAGAGAATTGGTGACCAAGAGAGTGGTAGTGCAGGCAGTGATGGTTCAAGTAGCTCTTCAAGTGAAGGTGGTAAGAGCAGTAAAACACAGAAGGAATTTAAAGATAACATATGTACTTTAGTCGTTAAAATCTTCATCTAACCTGGTGTTTTGAAATGCATTTTACCCTACAGATGACAGTGATGACACAGAAAGTGATAAAAGAGCTTCTGATGCTGAAGGGGAAGCAGTCCCAAAGAATAATGGCACAGAGGAAATTAGTAATGCCGCTCCAACAGAAAATGGAACAGCATCTTCTCCTCCTCTTGAGCCTGTAGAAGATGATGGATTCAGTAGTCTTCCACCCTATTACCCTGCAACACAAGGCTGTCGTTCAGTGGAGGAATTTTTCTGTCTTAACAGGTACTAAATTCAACTGAGTAGCCATTGCAATGTAAAATAAGTCATAACTTACTTTGAGCCATGTTTTAGCATTCTGTATCTTCTATTTTTTCCACAGGATAGAGGAGGGTACATATGGTGTGGTATACAGGGCAAAAGAAAAACGATCTGGAGAAATTGTTGCTCTTAAAAGACTTAAAATGGAAAAGGAAAAGGAAGGCTTTCCTATCACATCCTTACGAGAAATCAACACACTACTTAAGGTATCCATCTGAAATTTTAATCTATATTTTCCCGTGTGGTATACCTTAAGGTAATCTAGGGGCATTAATTTTATGTTCTAAACTACATTTGTTTACTGATATTTTTCCTTTTTAGGCTCAACATAAAAACATAGTAACTGTTCGAGAAATTGTTGTAGGGTCCAACATGGACAAGATTTTTATAGTGATGGACTATGTTGCCCATGATTTAAAATCTCTAATGGAGACAATGAGACACAAAAAACAAGTATTCCTTCCAGGTAAGGCTGAAGTGCAATTTAATACTGTGTTAGTCTCTCTGTTGTACATTTCTTATCATACAATAATACATTTTCAGGAGAAGTGAAATGCCTAATGCAACAACTGCTCAGTGCTGTTCTCCATTTACATGACAATTGGATATTACATAGGGATCTCAAAACATCAAATCTTCTTCTAAGTCATGAAGGAGTTCTGAAAGTTGGAGATTTTGGATTGGCAAGAGAATATGGGTCACCTCTGAGATCATACACTCCAGTAGTTGTTACACTGTGGTACAGATCACCAGAACTATTGTTGTGTGCGAAGGTTTGTAATTCCCTTATTTATTCCAGAAGCACTATTTGAATACATATAGTTTATTTCCTTATGTCTCTTTTCATTTTTTTTTTTTTTTGTTCAGGAGTATTCTACGCCTGTTGACATGTGGTCTGTTGGATGTATATTTGCTGAGTTTCTTCTAATGGAAGCACTCTTGCCTGGTAAATCAGAAACAGATCAGCTGATGCGTATTTTTAAAGTATGTATTGAATGTAGATTAGGATTCAAAAGAAATATTTTTTAGTGCCTTTGTCTTATCTATATTTTTATCTGTTTAGGAATTGGGTACTCCTAATGAAGATATCTGGCCGGGCTTTAGCCTGCTTCCAACTGTTCAGAAATGCAACTTTGCTGAGTACCCTGTCAATAGCTTGAGGAACAGGTTTGCTAGTATGCTGTCAGAACTTGGAATGAACCTCCTAAACAAGTAAGCGGCCGCATCATTTACCATTGCACTCCTCTTGTCTTCACCTCTTTTGGAATCTAACCTCACACTAACTTTTCAGGTTTTTAACCTACGATCCTGCTCAAAGAATTACAGCTGGTGATGCATTAGCGCATAATTATTTTGAAGAAGTGCCTAAGGCAATTGATCCTGCCATGTTCCCTACTTGGCCAGCCAAAAGTGAACTGGTTCATCGTAAAGCTGCCAGTCCCAAACCTCCATCAGGTGGTAAAGCCTACAAACAATTGGTTAGTGGAGTTAAAGATGAAGATGAAGAGGACTTAGCAGCTAAGGGCTTCCACATGGGAACCATCCAACAGGAAAGAACAAGACTGGGAGCAGGATTTAGTTTAAAGTTTTAATTACTAGGAAAGGACTTTGAATGAAATAAAATAAATCTAGTATAAGTTCAGTTTGTAGATATTTAAAAAAGTAAAATAAACACATATTCTTCTGGTAAGATGTTTTGAAATGAATTCCTATTGCTATCTAAATTGATTACATTTTGCTGAGCTGAACCTCTGACTTGAGTGATGCTGTGAATAAAGAGGCAAAATGTTGGTATTCACTGTGCTTTAATACTGATTCTTCAGAGACCACAAATTTATAAACCATTCATGCACAGAAATATTGGCATTGCCCCATTAGAATATAACAACAATAATAATAAATAACTATCAGACAAGCAAAAACATCATTTTGGTACTAAGCAGCGAGATAAAAATTTATAATCATTGATACTGAGCAGGTAGATACATACATGTCATATGTCATAAATTTCATTCCTTTAAGTTAACTGGGTAAATATTTTTGATGCTATTCTAAGAAAGACAAATGTTTTGGCAAAATTCATAATATTAAAATTTGTGGATCAAAGGATGGTCTTACAGCATTATCCACAAAAGCTTCAATACATATCCTTATTGCCTTAACATTGTTTAGATCACCTACAGTTTGTTTAGAGAGACTTCATGCATGGCGCTCGAAACAATTGTTACTCATGTGCAACAAACATTGGATTAAATACATGTTTTTTTAAATTAGAGCCTAATACATTGTAGATTATATCACTAAATTGACAACTCTGCCTTGAAGGGGGGTATTTGCAGATTGACTCGTTAGGGAACAAATTGAAGTACTCAAGGAAGGAATAGTGATTAGAAAACTAGTATCACCATTGAGCATAATACATATTATTATCCCACTCCTGCTTGAGCGATCTTATTGATGGTAACAGAATGCATTACCTTACAATGTTATAGAAGAGATGCAAAGTCAACAACAGTCAATTCTGATAATAATGTAAGGAAATTTAGAGGATTTCAATGAATATAGTCAGATGGTTCATTGAAACAAAAAGGCTTTATGTTAGAGTTTTTGAATTCACAGCTAGATCTCTTATAGTATTTCCAACCACACATGTGCTCACAACATGGTAGTACTGTTGTGATATCTGGATTGCTCAACAGATATTGCTAGTGGTTCCTCCTTCCCCATTAAAAAAATTTCTTTTGAGCATAAAATACAATATTAGTAAAATATTCAAATTAGCCATTTTTATATGTTTTAATGAACCTACCCTATATTTAATGTGATTGAATTGACTTCCAAAAATATTGCTCGTTACTTCCTCAAACCTCACAAAGTCTGTCATTTAAAACTTTTCCTGCCAGTCATCAACAACCTGGTGACCATGTTTCTGCTGCACACAATATGCAGCTTTGTTTTCAAAAAAAAATTAGCATTCCAAATTTTAACTATCTCACTTTTAAAGTGAAGAAAGGAATGTGAGGAAAAAAAATAATGCTACTGTCTTGTATCACCACATTTTTTTAGCTAATTCAATAACACAAAACAAAAATGGAAAACATACTATCAGTCTGGAAATGACATAGCACTGGAAACCAAATAGATTCTCTTTACTAATGCTAATAAAAGTCATCGGAATCTTGATGCAAGAAATGTTGTGGCTTCTCTGAGATCTATACATGGTCCTCTTGAAGGGTAACAATTTTACAACAGTCAATTGGGTAGAAACTATTGGTCTCAATGAAAATATGACAGAAATAGTGGCTATTTGCCCTTCCTTCTTTATTTTAAAAAATCTACCCTGTTAGGACTGCTAGAAGACCACCTGAAGACAACTGCAAGTTAGATGACAAGGATAAGAATAGTGGAAACAAAATACACGGTCTTATTCTTCATTGGATTCATTTGTATAATGAAATATTAGAGATCCATGCGTAGCTGCTCTGCAAATGACATAAAGGATGGAATGCCTATGACTTATAGCCTGAATGTTCAATGCTGTTGGTTGTAAAACATAAAACTTTTCTCAATAGCTGTACATATGTAGGGTGAAACCATTTAGATAGAAATGCAATATCAACCATGAAAATTTAACCACACATTTATAATGTGTCAAAAACATGTACATAGTGCATACGCATGTTTCCATTACAATAATTATATTACATATTTGTCTGAAATAGACTATAACTTTTCATAGAATACTGCATAACATTGCATACAAGAGAAGCAATAACTGGGTGCTTTGTGAAGATAGCTTGAACTGGTTTCTACTCGTTGAACTACAAAGAGAAGTCTGAGATAATCTAATCTTAATAGGCAACCTGGGAACACTTTTGTGAAATCACAGGAAGCGGGAAATTTTAGCAACTTCTATATGATTGCCAGACAATAAAGTTAATGGAAATCAAATCCATTCCTTATTAAGTCTATCTTTCTTTTTTAAATATATCTATCATAACAAAAGGTATTTGTCTTTTTCAAAAAATCACCATGATGCAACGGTGAAACTGGCAGTGGGTAAAGATGTACAATTTTATGGGTAATAATGAGAAACTTTTGAGGCACTTACCCATCTAATGGGTTTTGAAAAACATTACAAACAGTAAATATATGAAATTGTTACTTTCAACGACAACATTAATATAAATAACAGTCTAACAATTCTAATAAAATTTCATTTGTCAGTGACAATCTGAAACAGGGTAGGTAATTGAGATGACTGCCCAAATGTAAAGTTCTAAAAAAAAAAGAAAAAAAAAAGAACAACTAGTGTCTCCCCTTGCTTTGGTGGATCAACATTAAAGATGTGACAAGACAATGGAAAAAAATGGACGTAAATTATAATGAAAACCAACAGTTAAGAAATGGAACATAAATTCAATACTGAAACTGTTAAAAAACAAAATTGTTTCGGTACTTTTCTGACTGCCATTTCTCCTTGGGAAGTTTGATTATGAGGAAATTAAAAATTCAGCATGTTTTTTTTATAGTTATTCTGTATTTAAAAGGGGAACATTCAGCAGCAACCATTTCAATCACCAGTCCCAGCGTTGACAGTTTCTGCAACAAAAATAATCAACAGTCATGTTGCGAATAGGTACAAAACAACATCCGAAAAGATAATAGGTGTCTGCCATAGAGCCTACACTATATTTTTTTGTTGATACTACAATAAACTACAACATCTCAACAATATAACAACAAATATGAAATAGTCTATTTATTTTCATATAAATTACAAAGGTTTGCCTGTAGGACCTTCTTTGGGGGAAAGAGATCAAATTTATATTGCTGCGGAATCTAATTCCACTCAAACACATACAAAGTCCATACAATATTTTAATCAGAGGACAGAGTCGTCCTACTGTGGCACTATGGTCAATAAGATAAAAAATGTATGTACTTTTTACAAAAAGTATTTGCCATCAGTTTAAAAAATGCACTGATGATGTTTCCTATACAGAAACAATAATCTTTATAAGAAAAAACAAAAGACAACAAAATAACAACAGATATACTGCACTTTTACAAAACATGAAAAGTATACATACTCGTAACAAATGCCAGTTGCCAATATAGTATTGTGTGCAGTGCAATTTTTCTAACTACATAACTGTAAGGATGGCTTAACAAAGTCTTTAATAGGACTAGCAACAACATAAAAACACAGCCAGAAGCAAACACTATAACTAGTGAAATTCGTTTCAGAACTCGCAAACGACATGGGTAATGAAACACAAAATTGTGTTGACACACCACATATAGTGGTTCTGTTTTCCAGAAAAAAATATTGTGATACACATGCACCGATGTGTTAAGCTAGACACAAATGTCAATAATGCAGAGGCTATATAACAATTGAATGCTTTGTAGATTTTTACTTACAAGTATACCACTTTCCTTAACATATTCCTTGCTTTGAGAAGCTGGCAGTCTGGAAACTGTCAATTTGCAAATTTGTAGGTATGATCAAATTGGTGACCAATCTCTAACTCACCAGCACAAACTGTGCACCATATTATTATGTTCTACAATCACTAAAGTGTTACTCACCTCTACTCAAATGGAATGATTTTCAGTTTTTTCTTTATTAATAGAGTTTATTTTAAAAAATTAATTTTGTGGAATGCAATGAAGGAAACAATTAGATGATAACCCGTGAATAACGATCATCTCTCTGAACAAGGGAATCTGCACTGCTATGAGCTGTGTTACCTTTCAGCACTGGGTCACTGAAGATAGGCAATCGAGCTTCTGCTGTATCTTTACTTTTTATGTCAGTCATAAGCTTGTCACCTGTAGAAATGCGATGGCGATCTAGACTGCCCCAATCACGAACTGAAGTTTCCCTCGCGTCCCATTTGAACTTGTCATTTTTTCCTTCATCTCTGAATTTATCAGAACTGTTGTAGCCGGAAAGGTCATGCTTCAATTTGTATGGATCCGTTTTTTCATCATGGGAAAAACGCTCATCTGGCTTACGAATATCACAGCCATAGTTGGGGCTGTAAAGGGTCTGGCCTACTTTATCAGGACCACTTATTTTATCCTTAGAGTCACATTTACCAATTGGACCAAAGCTGACCTTGAGTCCAGGTTTATCACTTTCCCTGAATGTAAGATCTTTGCCAATGTTATACTTGCTGTCTCCTTTATAGTCAGAAAAGCCAATATTTTTAACAGGTTCTTCACAAACAGGTCGATCATAACGGCCTTTGTCCAACGCGTGGCTACTAATTGCAAAAGAATCAGAGACAGTGGCTTTAGAGGAATCAAAATTACGTGCAGCTGTCCCAATTAAGGACCTATCAGGATCGGGTTTTGTTTTCAAAATACTGGTAGAACTGGCACCATAAAGTGTAGTCTCAGAAGTATACTTCCTTGACCCCTGTGTACTGAAGTCATCAAAATTCTGTAAGCGACTTTCTCGCATAGGACTTCTTGCCATTATAGGACTTCGGGCACGGTCATCAAAGTTAATACGCGCATCCAATGAACGGCTACCTGAGTCATACAAAGGCTTACTTTCTAGATGAGTCTGACCCCCAAAAAGATCTGGTTTACTGGACCATGCTGGGTCAACTCTACTAAAATCTTTCTTAAGTTCAGAATCTCTAAGCTTATCTTCCCAACGGCTAGGTGATAACCGAGAGCTACCTATAAGATCAAATTTATCCATTTTCGCAGATACATCATCCACCCACTTTGATCCATAAATGGTATCTGAATAACTTGAGAAGGCGGGGAGAGTGAACCCAGACTTCACAAAACTAGGAGGTAAGTAATTTGTTTGACCTGTGCTCATTGTTGACTTCTTATTGGCCTCTTCACGGACAGCAGCAGTAACGGAAAACATGGGCCCATGTCCAGGAACTATGTAGTCAGCTATGAGGAGAACAGCATTACGATAACGTTCTTGGCTTCGAGGATTTTCTGACCCGCCAAGAGTGCGCCATATTGAGGCATCTTTCAGGTCTTCTTCTTTTTCAAATAAGTCACCTGTAAAAAGAGAATAAAGTTTGATAATTTTTCCGGATTCCATTTTTTCCTCTTAACTATTGACTCTCATAATGATTATCTTAGGGAGAGACATTCAGAGACACTCACCAACAATAGCCACAGTTCCTTGGTCACGAGTACGTACTATGACTGACACATCAGTATTGGTATGACCTGGTGTAGGAATCACTTTCACATCATCATCAATTACAAATGGTTGACCTACACAACAAAACAAAAAGAGAATATTTAACACATTAAAATCTAGTTATCAAGATGACAAATTAGCAAAGCAAACTGTACATGGTTCATACCATCCTCAAAGGGATGAAGAGTATACACATCTCTGAAAGATACAGAATATCCAACAATATGCTTTGCGTAGAGAAACAAATTGTTGTTTCCCACATGGTCGGAATGGCCATGTGTGCAAACAACGTACTGTATGTCATCGGGAGTTAATTTATGAAGAGCTAAGGCTGGAAAAGAAAGCACACATTATTATCATTTATCCGTAATTTTTCATGACTTTTCTGATACAATGCTTCGATAATGCTTACCCGAAATGATTCTGTCTTTGTCCCAAGGAGTCATTGTATCTACAATAACATTATGTCGTCCACGGATTAATGTGCATGAGCAGTTAGCAATCATCCCTTGATCTGTTGTACCGGAGTACCCAGTATGAAGAACATGTACTTCATACCCCATTTTCTGCAACAAGCATCAAGATTGAAATTTTTTTCCTTTAGTTTAAATTCAGTTGGAAAAATTGCACTTAAGAAAATTGATGGTAGTTAACAACCCAACACAACCCATGACACACATTATGTTAGACATAAACTGTTAACAACAATAAAATGAATCATTACAGTATTGATTTACTGAAACAGGAGAGCAAGAAAAACACACTCTTCTCTTAAAAACACGAACCCAATCCCGATGAAAAAGAAATGACATACAAGAAAACTAATCTCATCAAATGTAAAAGTTCACTTACACTTTCAGAGATTCTTAGATGAGAAAGTACCTTAATCAAAATTCTAGGAGGCGTCCGTAGGTACCAAAGAAAATACTCAAATCTACACGAAAGTTACGTGGTTCTCGTCTTTCTTCAGACCCAAAACGTACTGCACCAATCGAAACTAACTCCGTTCCACTTTGGCAAGGGGAGGGTGGAATATTGAGGGTGCCCAGTGGGGTGAGGTTGGAGCTGAAAAGGGGGTGGTGACACAAGGGGCATTGGGCTTTGGCGGGTGAAAGGTGGGGGAGAGTAGGGGTAGGACCGGGGTAATAGGGGTGGAAGGAGAAAGGGGTGGTTTAGGGGTGGTTTCTCATACCGTACTTGACAATTTCTCATAAGCCGTGGAGTCTTCACTTGTTCAAAAATCGTTCGTTGGTTCGTTACTTTTATGAGCAACAGAGAGCGCCACGCACAAGATCACTGTCAGGCTTTACCAAAAACAAAGAATGTTTGTGAGTATTTTGAACTTCCCATATCCTTAAGAGTTTTGTGTTTGTTTTGACATTTTTAGTTGCTTCATGAATCGGTTAACTTAAGCCAGTCGTATTTAGGTAGCCTTACCTGTGGTTCAAGTGGTCCACGCTCTGATTGTAGTGAAAGCTGATGATGGCATAGCAGGTGATTCAGAGGCCTACATCTGTATGTTGTCTATAGGATTTAATTAAAACTTAATTTGCATGTAAAGAAAACCTCCTCCTATGTGTTCAAAGTTTTCACTGTTGCTTAGCTATCTTCTGCATATACACGTCAATTCTTGCTTGCAACTTGTTTTCTAACCTGCTCATCATGTTTGTCACTTTTATAGTATTTTCAAAATGACTTATTTTAATTTTATTTTATTTTAAAACCGTCTTTCTAAAATTAAATCCGTTAAATTTGAAATAGTATGCTATAACACAGTAATGAACACACAGCACTGAGAAATTCACGACTCCATTTCATACTTTCAAATTTTGATCGCCCATTCATTTGTATTTTATGTTTTTGTCTGTAGATGTACACCTGTACCTCTTGTGTAATTTAAAGGAGGTTAGGGAGTGTCCCTTGTCTAAATCATGACAGAGAGGGATGAGGGAATTGAATGGCTGGGCGAACTCCTTCAAGATGTCCAGCTTGAGCAGTTTTTCACCCGAATTAGAGATGATCTACAGGTATTTGTTTTATTGAGTACTAAGGAGCTTGACCATTTTTTTTTTACTCCCTGCAGATTTTGAGAGATTTTTGGTTTTTGTATCAGGTAACAAGATTACAGCACTTTGATCATGTGGAACCAAGTGATTTGGAAAAAATTGGAATGGGTAAGCCTGCAATCCGTAGACTGTTGGAGGCAGTGAAGAAAAGAAAACAGCCTCATTGGAAGCGAAATATTCTTACTAAACTTATTCCTGCTGGAGGTAAACAACATGGAACAGCTTCTAGGAAAACTTTATCATCTGAACATTCGGCTGGTGGTTTGAGTCTAACCTGTTTAATTAGTGAGAAAGATATTGTGTGAGTCAATTTAACATCTACTTCTTCTTTGCATAGTGCAGTATAAAAATGGTAATATTTTTAACACTATTGTATTTGTGTCAAACTTAAGGCTTGCTGAAAAACTTGGAGATGGTTCCTTTGGTGTTGTTCGGCGCGGGGATTGGTCAACCCCAGAGGGGAGAAACATGCGTGTTGCTGTAAAAATTTTGAAGCAGGATGCATTAAACCAACCTGGTGTTTTTGAAGACTTTGTTAAAGAGGTGCAGGCAATGCATCAATTGGACCATCCAAACCTTGTGAGGTATGACACATTTGACAATGTTTGATGGTATTTGCATTAACTCCCCCATTCCATGTCAAACATTTAAATTTGATATATCTAGGTTGTATGGTGTTGTGCTCTCCCATCCAATGATGATGATAACTGAACTTGCACCTCTTGGAAGCCTGTTAGATTATTTACGAAAGCAGTGTGAACACATTCCAATTACGGTTCTTTGGAACTATGCCCTTCAAGTCGCCACAGGAATGGCGTATTTGGAAACTAAACGCTACATTCATCGCGACCTTGCATGCCGCAACGTTCTTCTAGCATCAGTTGATAAGGTGATGTATACTTACTTACAGTACCAAAAAAGAGTAGAAAACTAGTTACCAGATCTTTGAACTAAGATTTTTTCTTCTAGATCAAAATTGGTGATTTTGGTCTTATGAGAGCTGTTCCTCAGGAAGATGACTGCTATGTTATGACAGAACACAAAAAGGTGCCATTTCCCTGGTGTGCTCCTGAAAGTTTGAAAACTAGACAGTTTAGTCATGCCTCTGACACTTGGATGTTTGGAGTAACTCTGTGGGAGATGTTTACATTTGGACAGGTGAATAAAATATACTCATTTACTGTAAAAAAATTGAATTGAATCCTAGCTTAAAAATGATTTAAAATCTCCACTTTTATGTTATATCTCAGGAACCTTGGATTGGTTTGAATGGAACTCAAATTCTTAAAAAAATTGACAGGGAAGGGGAAAGACTGCACCAACCTGATTCATGTCCGCCAGAAGTCTACCAATTGATGCTTCAGGTAATTTGCTATGCAACTGTCCTTACTCTCTTTTTTCACCACTCTCTAAGGTTTTACATAGAAATGTTTGGAATGTTTCAGTGTTGGGCAAAGGTGCCCGCTGATAGACCAACATTTTCGGCTCTGCGTGAATACCTTTCGCAGTCTATCCCGCACAATATGAAAGCACTTAATCGCTTTGAAGAGGCTGGCAAAATGACAATCGAGCGTGGGGACCAAATAATTGTAATTGAAGGCAGAGCTGACTGCTATTGGTGGAAAGGTCAAAATCAAAGAACTTTTGACATTGGTCAATTCCCAAGGTAAATATTACATTGCCCATTCTTTCATGTAAAAAGCTAAATAATGGTTTACATGGTAATTACCAAATATTGTTCTTTATGGACAGGTGCATTGTTGATCCCTTAAGGAAAAAATTAAGTGAGGATATTAGTAGTCCCCTGCAAAATTCTTTTATTCATACGGGCCATGGGGACCCATATGGGAAATCATGGGGAAGCCCTGCATTCATTGATGAAGTTTACTTAAGAAACCCGATGGAGCCCCCTGATGTGTTGGGTATGGCAACCAATCCTGGCCCAACATCTAAGTTACCTGATAGGAAAAAGAATAGTGAGTTGCCTTGTGCTTTACATTCTTGCTGTGGATCTCAGTGTTGGCTTACTCATCAAAATATGTTCTTTTATGAATTTGTAGAACCTCACCAACAAGCAGAAAAAAGCAACCGCCATTCAAAACAATTCTCTTATTCCAAACTTAACAGTCTGGAGACTGCCAGAGGAAGCCAATTTGTGGTGGAAGCTGTTAGTGTGCCTCTCGGTCTTCATTCTGGTACAAGGGAGGGAGTTCTGATAGACATTGGAAGCGCATTACCCGAGTCTATCTTAACCACCAGGTTGCCAACTGCTAATGGTTCGTCCTTACTGGACGAACCTATTGATAATAGTGTGGAAGGTGAGAAATTAATTCCGTTGCATAGTTTCTAAAATGACTTGATATAAAATATCTCTTTTGTCATCTTTTGATAAATCATAACATATTTTAATATGTTTTTTTTTTCATTAGGTGAAGATCAGTGGACTTCTGCCGAAGAAGAGAGATTATATGCCAATTATCCTTCTCAAGAAATATACCCGACAAGAGAAGCTCCACCGCCTCCTGTGCTAGAAAGTGCTGTGAATGTCCAGAGATCTGAATCACCAGATCCCTTTGACACTTCCAATGTATTCACCCCAAGCCGTTATTACTCTGATGTTTCTGAGGCTCATAATACCTACCTTAATACTAATAACTGCCAACAAGAAGCACAGGTTTCATGGCACCAACATGACAACCACCAAAACAGCCAAGAAGAAACACAAATTGTAACTAGTCAATTGGCTCTTCAAGAACCCAACCGAATGCTTGATCCTAAATTTTTGGCAGAGTTAGAGAAACACTTGGGACAGAAAGAAGCAAGTGCAAACCTTAATAATTTATCTACAGAAAATTCAGATATTACAAATGTAGGTAACAAGCATTCTATACCAGCTCTTAGGCCACCACCTCAGTCATCCAAAGTAGTTAACAAACCTCAAGCCAAAACTTTAGCCTCACCTTCTGTACCATCTGCAAGTGTTTCAAACCCAAATAGCTGGCAGCCTTCCACTGTTCAGTTTCGGACTTCTTCTAGAACTGAACCTTCTGACTTTAGAGCCTCCCAAGTGCAAAGTGTGTGTTTGCCTTCAACATCCTCTCCTGTTTGGTCATCTGCAGGAGTTACCCAAACCTCCACCTCCACATCATCATCAAATCATGAAATTAATAATTCTGTAAAGCTTTTGAAAAGTATGATGTTATCTGAAAATTCAATTAGTGAGTCAGGTTTGCAGAATCTGCATACCCTCCATCGACAGTCGTGGCAGGTTGATTCTCAAATACAAGGGGGCTTGCAGGACTGTGCGCAAGCTCTGCCCTCCTTAGGATGCGGTAGTAGTAATGTCCAATCAGGGTTTGTACTTTTATTAATTATGTGTTTTGACTTTATGGGTACATTTATATAATGTTTGTTTACTTTATCAAACTTTTGTTGATTTTTTTTATTTATTTTTTTCCAGCTTTGATGCTGGTGGGAGCTCTTTAAACTCTGCACTTGTGCCAGTTCCCAATCCCAATCCTCCATCATGGACAGCTGGTGCTCAGCCAGCAGGCATTGTTTATCCTTCTGCAGGCTCAGCAAGTGCCACTAGCTCTGACAGTGTAACAGTATATCATCCTGTTGGCATTGATAGTCAAGACCACACATGGAATCTCAGTGTTGGGACTTCTGTCAGCAGCCAAGTTCAGCAGCACCCTGTTGTTTACAGTGGTTTGCCTCTTCATGCAACTAGTCAATCTGGATGGACTACTTTCAGCACAGTAGACTCACCCCAACAGAAACCAAAGCATCCCCAATCCCTTCAGCAACAACAGCGGGCAGCTATCAAGTCAGCTTTGGAGGCACGAAACCGTGTTCTGACAGGTGGTGCTGGTCCGTCTACTGGTGCTGCTTTGTCGGCCGCTGCCGGCCCTGCAGCCATTGTGAGACCAAATCAATTGCATCTTACTCCCCAGCAAGTCTACAGCATAGTCCCAGCATCACCTTCTTCATCTCCTCGAAGCAGCACAAAAGTGGTAAGTGATAGCATGCTTTAAAACCCTTTCTTGCTATTGTGTTTCATTGGGTCAAAATCTGATAAATCAAATCAATATTTGGTGTTTTGCCTGTAATGTTGCCAAAGATGAGAAAGGTAAAATCAGACATGATTCATCAGTATATTGTGATATAAAGACCAATTTGACTGACCTCTGAAGAATATTGAAGGGATGTAAACTAGACAATCAATAATGTCTTCATATCAACTATCCTCTGAGGAAATATAGCATGCTAAGTTTGCTTCTGGGGGATACTGTATTAGTATTACTTTTCATAGTAGTTTGTGACTATTCTTGAGCTTGCTTCTGTTTTCAACATCTTTTTAGTAGTCTTGTGATAACCAAAGTTTTATCTCATCCATGTATTTGGTGAGCAAGGCGGGTCGTATATCAGGGCATGTCTGTGTATTTTGTGCAGGCATTTGTTGTGTATAGACTTTAATACGTATGTTGATTTGAACAAAAAAATTATCTCTGTGAGTGATGGTGATTGATTATTGTTCTCATTTATACTGAGTCATTTTATCTATTCGTCCTTGTTCCATTTCTCTTTTAATCAAAAACATGTGGTACCTTCTTGTCCACTGAACATAATTTTTCTCCAATGTGCATCTACTTTAGTAAAACATATTCCCCAATTTTAAGTCCCTAAATTGAATGGCCTGCCAGGAGGTTGGTGTTTCTGGGGAGCTACGAGCTGATAAAGTATCTCGCCTCCAAGATGCTGTGGGTGATGCTCGTGAGGACGAGTGCGTTTCTGCCCTTAATGCAACAGGCTGGGATGTAACTGCAGCAGCTAAACGAATTAAGGTCGACAGATTAGACAGGTAATCACATGTACAGATCGTTGTTGCATATATGCTATGTTTCCATGCAATATTATTAGATCATAGTCTATAAATTTAAGAAAAAGAACTTCATTAGGTAGCGTAATAAAAATAACACTAATAGTTACCACTCCCTTTTCATTTAACCTGCAAGTTATATTTATTTTAATTTGCTTGCCTTTCTTGTTTTTTTTTAAACTGTTGGTAAGAACAGCTTTAGTCAGTTCTTTCCAGGATTTCAATGTATTGGAACAGATTTTCTTAAAGTTTTTATCAATAAGTAAAACCTTTGAATTCAATTAAAATTAGTGGTACTGCAGTAGTTGTTTGGCAAATCTAAGTTTTGTTGTGGGTTGCGGGCAATTAACTTTATTAGTTTCTTCTTTTAGTCGTATTGTTTTCCTTACCTTTTCGTTGCTTGCTACTTTAGCTTTCACTGTATGCTCTTGCATGAATCTTGCTGTGGGAATGAATTTTGTCAACAGGTGCACATATTTAACTCAAGCCGTACTAAGATATTAGTTGAAGTGTCCTGTTAAACAAATGTTCTTTAAAAGAAAAAGCGATTGGCTGTCAATATTTAATAACACTGATTTCTTTCTTCAGGCTGGGACTCGCCTCTCGACGCCTGTGTGAGCAAGCATTAGAAAGGACCAATTGGAATGTGCAGGAAGCAGCATCTACTCTTTTAGATTCTGTCCAGAGCCAATAACTAAAGGTATTATATTTATAACGCTCATTCCACTTTTATTCTGAGAAATTGACTTTGTTTTATGATAGACTTGGTCTTTCATGTTCAAAAATTTGTAAGGTTGGAGTGTGCTAAAGTGACCTTAACCATTTTTATTGTTTTGTTCCTTTCCTTTGAAAACTTCTCCTTTTTAGCTGTCTTTTAAAGCTAAACAAGTGAACCAATACTTCCCATACAATATACTTCAAGTGAGGTTTAAAGGAGATAAGTTTGTGAGGTTTTGATATATTTTATTACTTCTATCTGTGCCATTCATGTCTGTATATTTAGAATTGGCAATCAATATTGACTGAAGTCTATGGGTTATGTTGATGTTTGCTATTCATTAAACTCATTATTAACAAAAGGTCTTCTGTTACAAATTTCAAAATTTGAAGAATGCTGTTTCATTTACAGACCTGAGAGTTAAGTGTTCCTTGTGTAATTTTGAACCGTACAGTTTGAAACCTCTATCATACATAGGTCGTTCATGTTTTTTGACGGTTTCGTTTTGTATTTGTTGTGTCAAATATTTTTACTTAATTGACGTCTTCCAGTACTATGTTTGCGCGTTATGTACAAGATATTACAAATCTGTCATTGTCTTCTCCCTCTTTTTTTTTGTGGTATAGTACTGTATTTTTCTCTGTTGTCTATTTTTTTTTAATCTCTCAAATACTGTGGTATGATTGAGTATTTCTATCTCTTTTCAATTTATAAGGCAGCAATTATTTTAACCAACCATTTTTGTTGTTGGTATTAAAATAAATAGTATAGTTTTATCTTTTATTTTTCCTTTCATGTGAAAAGTAGTGAATAATAAGTAAAGTAATGCATTCTTCAACACCCTCAGTATTTTATAATAAACAAGGTTCTAAGGGGACCTCATAAAAGCCTGTGATATTTAAAATCTGCGCGTATTGGGCTTGTTTACTATTTGCTTGATCAAAAATTATGCTCTCTTTGAAAATACTAGTTACAGTATTATATACTCATACTTAACTTTCCTAACCACACTTGACATCATAGGTATGCAGAATCTGTCTGTATTAGAGTCAAATTTTGATGGAAGAGCAATGTGAATCTAAATGATTTTCTAAAGAGGAAACCCAAGGAGTTGAAATCCTCTATAAGTGTCTTACAGTATTTCTTTACTTGTACCTTGGTAGTGTTAATAAATCAGCATTGTTTCTTGTTTGCATAATTGAGGTGTCTTAGTCTGTTTACAATCAATGTTGATTGATATTTTGTATGATTGCTGTTTCCAAACTGTCCAAATGTCTGATTTCTTTGTTCATGTGCCAAACTGTGATATGTAATTGTTAGGGAGAGCTATAGTGAAGACAAGTGTCTCATGGTAAGCTGTTTTTCTTCTGCTGATGTCTGCAGATAAAATATTTTTGTCTCACCATAATTCTTTATTATTTAGTATTTTATATTATTTCTAAACCAAAGTTTACCCTAGCGTACACTTTGTAATTATTTTCCTAGATGTGAGATGAATGCATATTCAAAAATAATTTGGATAGATATTTTTGCGATTGAAAGGCTGTGAGATGCATCCGAAAAAGGTAGTCTACTTCCAAGTGTGTCACTATTACATTGGAAGAACAAATTGCTTTTCAAAGTACTCTTTTCTATGTTATTTAACGTTTGAAGTCTACAGAAATTTTAATGTAAAATACTATTTTTTTGTATGAAGCCTTGATTTGTGACTTTTCAAAAACATGATATCTAACTAAGAAAATGATATTAAAACCCAAACATATTTTGAGTGCCTTCCCTTAACATTATTCTATAACTCTGTTGTGAGTTGTGAATTCTTTGGTGGGCACTGCAAAAGCTAGTTAAAGGTTTATCCTATTGTATTCTATTGTCTAACTTCTAAGTCAATGGTATTACCTGCGCCAATTATCATGGAAAATCACTTTTTAAATTTCATTTGTTTTGTTTGAAAGACATGACCTAACTTAAATTAATTGCATGTGTCAGCCAGTTAAAATTGTGTTTATGTAAGGTAATACTTCTATTAGCCGTGAAGTTGTGGGTGTTAAACAGCCTTCCAAATCTGTCTTTATGTAGATTTTTGGACAAACCAGTTCTCTTGGCCTTTGGTGCCCTTTGCCTGTGTGGTGTTCTTGGTATAACATTACTGCCAAGATGTAACTCCTTAAGTTAGTTTTAATTTAGCATTGACTATATAGGATCTTCGAATAAATTTAAAGACATACAAGTAATTTTCTCGCTGTCTCAATTAATTTTCCCCATTATGCTCAAGCCTGAGCCACAAAAGTTACTTTCCTCCTTCTTTAATTATCGAAGTTTAACATCTTTTCTTGAGGACAGTGTCATTACGGCCCGCATTCTCACCTCAGAAGCTGCCGAGAGTCACCCCTCCATTAGCGAGCGGTGCGCTGGAGGAGGGGGGGGGGGGGTCAGGCTCTCACCCTTATCTCTCTTCTCCCGTTCACTTCGGTGCAGTGCCCCCTCCATGTTCGCACATCTCTGATTCTCCCCCTCCCCTCCCCAGTCCCCCTTTCCCCCACATAGGATACGGCCCCCTTTTTTCCTGTAAGCCCTCTCCTCCCTATCGATCCAGCGTGCTGGTCCAGGACTCCCGCAGGCTCCAGTGGAGGGGAGAGGGGGGGGGGGGTCAACCCCGCCTCCTCTCCGCATTCCGTGGGTGGCTTGGAGAGGCGCTGCCAAACGGGAGGAATGACTTACCTCTGAGCAATCTAGCGGCACCCCCGCGTTCCGTGCAGTCCGGGACCGGAGTGCCAGCATGCCAGGACGGTTCCGGGTAGAGCACCGCAAAGAGCGAGCTACGCGAGCTAGACCCCTTCTTCGACAGGTGAGAGGGGGGTCGGGGTAGGCATTTAGCTCGCGTAGCTCGCTCTAGTTCCGGGCAGGCTAGCTCTATCTGAACGAGTTCCAGTTCATACCTGTCTTCCTCATCAACCGCAAATTACCTAAGGCTATTAGCTGCCACGATCAAACCAGCCATATTTTAGAGGGGTTGGCCTGCGACCCGGGGACTCCCCCGCCCCCTTTTCCCCTCCCTCCCCTCTTTCCGGTGGTTGGCCCCGTGCCGCCTCCAGCGCGCTGGAGCAAAAAGAGAAGTTTGGCTCCGCTCAGAGCACGCTGCTGATTGCAGGGCAGATAGAGGCAAGTACAAAAACGTAAACGCAGCAAGCTCCGGGCTCGGGGAGGGGGGCGAGGCGGGGGTGCCCTGATAACCATGTTATCCGCGAGCTCCCCTTGTTTATTTTGTTGCGTCTCGACCCACCTCCTCGTCCCACCCGCACCCCAGCGCCGCCCTCGCCTATTCCCCCAGCGCACCGCGCCGCACCGTGTCCTACACACCGGAGCTGGGGGGCTGCTGGGCTGCTGCCGCGTGAGGGGGGGAAAGGAGGAGAGGGGGGAGGGCGCCCATATTGGTCATACCCTACACGTACTCACGTACAGGGAGCAGAACAGAGGGCGCGCAGGAGAGCCCGAGGGACCTGCTGGCGGGGAAGGGAGCAGGGGGAGGCACGGGTCCAGTGCGCAGACCTGCGGTCCGTTACCCCCACCCCGTCCTCGCCCGCCTCACACTCTTGCCAGCACTTACGCCCGGGATGTGCGTTGTGCGGCCGTGATTGGGAGAGGGGAGAGGGGTGGCCAAGGGGAGAGCTCTGCTGCTCTGCTCCCCTCCGCTGCGGAGGAAAGCTTGTGCAGGGCCACCGGAGCGCCTCACCGGTAGGCAGTCCCTGCGTGCACTCGTGCGTTACGGGACTGCATAGCCACCCGGGGCTCCAGGCCGGTCGTGATCCGCCGCCTGCCCTTAATTAAGGGGCTGTAACTCCTTTCTCCCCCTAGCCTTGGTAAGCTAGAGGACCCTAAAATCAGAGCATCAACCCTCACACCATCCAATCACCCCTTCATCAAACGCTCCACCGCATACCTAATCACCAGTTAATTAATGTAAGTAAATAATGTAAGGCCCACGGGCAACATCACACCAACCTATGTAAAATCCGAATGTAACTTAATTTGACTTGAATAAAACCATTTCAAAAACTGAAATCCGCCGCGCGCACCTCACACACCACCGGGG